TATATATATCTTATTAGACGTTTTGGTGTGTAGTGTCGCTGAGTATTTATGCGAGTTGCGCCGAGTTTTGTCGAGCCCGCAGAGTGAGTCAAAATACAATCAACGAGTTAAAATACTGTGCGATACTACACACCAAAACGCGTATTAAGTTATTTATTATCCAACTGCTTTATTTTTTATGCACTTCTTAATAGGCGGGAAAAGTGAAGCAAAAAGAGAGGCGATCTGTGGCTGCTCTTGCATAATGCTCGCTCGCGTCGGATTAGCTCGTGAGACGTCAACTTGTCACAAAACGTTCCAAAACGTTACAAAACGACTTTTATTGTAAAATTTTATTTTCGATCGTTGTTCTCAAATCCTCTGAGAAATTCTTATCCCATTTTGTTACTTTTTGCGGGTGTCTTTTCACTGCGTGAAAGACACGGGTGTTTTTTTTTTTTTTGCTTCAGCCACCAAAAAGCGATTATCGGATGAGGTTAAGCATGAATTATCAAAACCGAAGCAGAAGGTTGAGGCAAATAACACAGTCACGATGTTTGATAATTCATGATAAAATGCGAAAACCGAATTCACTAATTGTTTTATTATAAACTTTTTGAACAATCTGAAAATGAAGACACTTTTTTTGCGAAAATGAAGACAAGTTTTTGCGAACTCAAACATAACTAATGCAAAATGGGTTATTATGTCAACTTCACACGCTATTGTAAATAGTTGAACGAACGCTCACGACCAATCAATTTTTCATTATAAGTCTAAAGTACAATAACAGCTATTAAAAGCTTCATCTTAAGACGAAAATGTTCTGTCAACTGTGAAGCATAATTATGGTCGGTTTCATTTGCGTCCTCTAGAACTTTTCTATCTCAGTGACGGAGCTCTTCAAATGAGATATTTCTTCAGGAATTTCTAAATAAAACCGGTGACTTTCTCATGAAACAATTTCGCCTGGATCCTAAACTTTAATTTTCATTGTAGATTAAATCCGTTTCCTCCATACAGGAATCTATTGTGAGACACCTGTTTTGCTCCAGATTATTAAAGCCATTAAAAACTTCAAATTCCGCTGAAAAGATTATTTTTGACCCGGATTGATTGCTTCTACAAATACTTACCCAAACATTCGCAGATAAATTCGGCGACTTTCACGTTGCAAGAGCTAGTTGACGCCCCCTACCCCTTTCATGGTACACTCCTCTATACTTTCATTTATATCTGTGCAAATTATGGAAAAAAAAACACAAAATCTTGGTTTATTTGAAGGCGTTGATACAAGGCCTGAGGTTTCAGTGTTTCAAGATAATTTTTAACAAACAAAAAACGAATCATATTTGAAACTGTCACATTAAGGTTTAGATAATAGAAAAAGGTTTATTCAGCTGTTTGATATTTTTCTCCATTAGAACTTCAGTATGAAAAATTTTTACTTTCCTTGGCTGTAGAGTTTGGTGGGATCCCTCCAAACATCATTTTCGCAACAAGTTAATGAAGTGCCATATTTAGAAGTTTTTTAGGGGTCATTTCAAAAAAGGTCGAGCATTTGGAATTATTACTCCCGGTAATACATCAATCTTTTACACTCGGTTGGGGGTTCTCTTTGCAGCAAGAGAACAACACTGGAAAAATCTCATTAGTTTTTTCCATTAAGAAGAGTGATTGAAAGTCTAGGCAAGTTAATTTGAACTTCAGAGCGAAGAGGCACTCAACAGGCAACGGAGGTAAGAAAATCTAAGAGAACTCAATCGTTAAAGCTCTTGTAAAAACCGAACATCATTCTTATTTAGTAACAAAGGAACAACTGTCAGTTTACTGTTAAACAAACCGAACGAAACAAATCGCGGGAGATACGTAGCTTTGTTAAAAGTTATTTTCCAGAATTTAAGAAGTGGAAGCGTAAAATGGATTTAGCGTTGCACGTTCGTCGAAAGCATTTCGCCTAGAATTTTTCTCTTTTTCATCAGATATGGGTAGTTCTCATGAATTCCCTTTTTTTGTTTCAGAAAATTTGGTTTAAACAGTTTTCCTATCCCTATTTTCCAAACAGGTGGCTCGGGCGCGAAAGGCCAGAGAGTAACAAGAAACTGTTACAAGACGTCACTCTATTGGTAAGAATATGTTTTCTTGTGTTCTTCCTGTCAAATAGATGTTTAGCAACCAAAAAATGGCAATTATAAAACTTTCTGTTTATGAAATGGTTCAAGACGAAGATTGGTTTCGTTGATCCAATGAAACATATAGTAATATAGGCGTAATCAAATTTGCTAAACCTGCGATTTCGCTTTCTCCAACACAGTCAGCGTATATATAATGTACTATAAAACTTGCTGTAAAAAAACCTCGAGTTTTTCCATGCACTAAGAAATATTTGATCGAAAGTTGCTGAGAATACTCGAGGATTAGACGTTTTCGAAGGGGAATCATTTTTGAACTGGAACATATCTTCAGATAAGTACGAATTCTTGGAGGAAGCAACGTTTTTGACAGGAAGCTACCTTAGAGTGTACATTATTTGCCATGTGGCGTCTGCGCAACAGCTTTATATAACATTGCAATCATTCGTCAACTCAGACATCCGTAGGAGAGGCTCGGACGGTCCACAATTAAACCTGCCCACGCAAATGGTTACGTGTGCTATGATAAAAGGATTTCCGCACCTGAGAAGTGATAATCATGTTAGGAACAACGTAATACCAGTATTACAGCATGGTATAAGGGGAGAACAAGTGGGGCAGCCGGTAGTAATACTAACGACCCTTGCCTGAACGTGCATCGTGTCCTGAATGTGGATGAATCGTTAAACACGCAAGTCGAAGACTGGTGACGAACAGAATCCTTTAAAGCAAAGAACGAAGAAATGACGTATTTTGCATTAAAATGTGGCGGAAAGGAACTCCATCCAAATCGAGGAAAAATGAACAATTCACCTCAATATATTTTAAAGATATTTCAATTGTCACTTCTGCCTCACCTTCTGAATAATCGCAAAATAAACGTCGTGAAGTCGCAAATCAGAATGCATTTATGAAATATTAGTTTTGACAATACAGATGTAATACAGAGCAAAGAACGAAATTGCTAATGTAATTATATTTCTATCTCCAAATTTTAGCTGGGCTGCATTAGTGTACAGCTCTATGGTATACACCAGCTATGCTTGTATACTGAGGAATATTCGGACACCATAATGAATCTAGTACTCTGGAGTCCCGCGCTTTTTTTTCTCTTGTTAAGAAAAATAAATGAATAGTTAGATACTTAGCGAATGAAGGGATATAAGATATATTATTTTTCTTTGCTAAATTGAAACTGGCCTTCACGAATTATTAATTAGAAAGCAAGGTGACGCCCTTCTAAAAAGACACTGGAGTGCATAGTAAACTTTTGAAACATCGCAAAGGTTTTCACTACATTATGATTTAAGAGCTCATTCTCGCATTAAAAAACCAGACGAAAAAAAGAGGTAAAAAAATCGGCGAACGAATTTAGGATAACTACATTAAAATTAATTCAAATATTGATATACGATAGGTGATAAAATCGATTTGTCATTAAACGAATTTCTCTTTTACTTGTTTTATCCGTTCTCAGAAACTATGGTTGTAATGGAACCTGCGCTCCTCATGGCACTGTTTTTGGTAATTTGTTTAATAGCATTGAATAGAAATTCCGGTGCATTAGCTACACAAGGTGGGAAATGAAGTTGTTGTTGCTACTTTAACGAAGGGTTTCTCTTGACCAAATCAGAGGGGATCATTGCTCTAATATGATCAGTTATTTCCTTTGTGGGAAACGGAACACTAACTTAAATTTTCCTTGGTGTAAATTGTTGCTTTGCAACTCGTAACGCCAAACCGGTACATAAGAAGCACAAATTGACATAGTAATCGATCAAATCTATTATGGTTTTTTATTCAAGGTGATTTTTCCTGAACACTTCAACATTGTTTACGTAATTAGCACGATATCAATGTCATCATCATCACCATCATGATCATCATCATTATTATTTTCCTTTAATCAATTTTACCAAAAAAAGTAGATGCGGTAATAGTGATAATGATATTAATGACAATAATAGTAAATAATAATAATAATAATAATGATTATAACAATAGTAATATACATTATAATAATGATGTACTGCTACTACTATTTCTCCAGAATGTGGCGTTTTGGTAAACAGCACATTGAAAAGTCGGGGATATCCATTTGCCTATCCAGCAGATATGGATTGTGAATACTCTGTTCCTATTCCACCCGGAGGGCCAATGGGAATATATTTCGTTGACTTTGACGTGGAGTTTCACCCATCATGCAGGCAAGATAGTCCTCTCTGCCACGAATTAGACAATTTTTCATTGTAGGCAGCCGGTCCAAGAGTTCTGTGTCCGCTATTATGTTTTGAATGCTATTCTTATTTGCAAAATGAGCGTAATGAAAGAATCAAACTGAGGCAGATAATGTAGCTGAAGCAAACTTTACAGCACTCGATCAAAAAATGCAAGGAAAAATATGCAACTTACGTATTCTAGCTTAGACAAAAAAAATCGTCCGTAATTTCTGTTCCTTTTCTCTTTATTAGAAACGATAAATAAATTTGGTAGCTTCATCCTTAACTGTGTCTTGTGGTTTCAAATTAGCGTAACGATTTTTAACGTCGTTTCAACCATCAGTGCATCTTTAAAATTGGACTATATTTTTCATTCTATCTTTTTGAAGAGTAATTATAGTCGAGTAGACTCGACTAAGGATAATACGTTTTTCTGTGCAAAAAATCTCCAATTAATGTTCTCTTCAATATAGTTATGACTTTGTGAAGATTGGTAATGATCAGAACCATACCTTTGGAAAATACTGTGGACGGAGGACTGGACAGACAGTTGTAGTTTATGGAAACTTCGCCTTGGTAACATTCCATTCAGACTTCATTGTCAATAAGAGGGGATTCTTCTTCCGTTTCAAAACGGTTCTCACTGGTTTGTATAGTTGTCTCCTAAAAATTTTCAATGAAGTGGTAAGAGTGTGATGTTATCTAAAAGAGAAAAACAAAATAACTATATAACTGAACTCGTTCTTTGTCAGCGGCATTAATGAACCTCTTATGGATGATGGCAACTATTCACAGGGTTTCGAGTGCAATTTGGGAAAAAATCAGCACGAGTAATTTTTTTCAAGGCTAACCAAATTGCATGACTCTTACGACGAGTTCAATTCGTAATGTATGAAAACCTTACGAGTACTGATTTCTGACGAGAAATATCATGCGATTACTGATTTTTAATATACATGCAAAAATTTGATTCTGTTTTACTCTCAGCCATGGTTACTGTTCTTTGGTGCGGCTTCTTTCCTTCGTGTTTTTGCTGGAGTCGTCGGGATTTTCCCTCAAGAATTAGCTTCGAGCTTTTAAACTTTCTGTAGGAATAATTTAGAGTTTGCAATCTTTCTCAGCCAGAACTCGCTTTATACGACTGCTATCACGCTCGTAATTTAATGATTAAATTACAAGCGTGTACGAACGGCTGCGTAGGCTCCCAGAGAATTTATTCCATGGCGTCCAGTTCTTACGATTTATTACTTTTATAATGGTCGTTTTTGGGAGCCCAAGACGTTCTGACATTAAACCAGCTGTTTCCAATTTGTTAGGTGTTTCTGTTCTGAATCAAAACGTTGTTATTTTCTCCTAACCTGTCCGACATTTTATTTTGTTGTACTTTCGCGACTCTCCTACCAACCGATTTGATTCTAACATTCTCTGCAACCAACTTTAACTTTCTGCACTGTATGGGATAAATTGAAGTGTCCTAAGGAAAAAGACAAGTTGAAATGTTTGCATGTACATTTATTCGCCGTAGGAGAAATGAATATTGTTGAGTAATGCACGAGACGAAGTCGGGGGAATTATTCAATACTATTGAATGAGTGTGATAATTGTTATAGCATATTGCTAAGGTGCTTTCGAATTCCGTTCTTAATTCATTCTGTTGCTGAAATCATTCTGTAAATAAAAAAACTTGCATATCTTTTGTTATAATTGTTTCAATTTCTTGTATCAATATAAACAGCCAGTTTCCACGAGAATTTAACAGCGAAAAAGATCTATTTAACTTATGAGAAGTTTTGCAAAAAACAAAGCTGCAACTTTTGTTATTCAGAATTTTTGTCTATCACGTTTCTCTCTTCCTCGGTAATTTTGCCAAACACGAGGCAGCCATTTTGAAATTAAGTGCCAATGTTATAATCCCCTCACGCGAGGTGATTATATCTAGATATGACGCAATCCCCGACCAATTAGAGCGCACGCATCTTTATAATCACAGGAGCAATTTCATATAGTAAATATGGGAAAAGTTCATGTAATATTAACTTAGTCTGACGACTAACTGTTTTACATTTCAATTTTTTTTTAAACCTAGTTCCCCCCAAAATATCCTTACCAGCCGTTGTGGAAGTTCTCCCAGGTTACAGAGTGAAAATTCCGGTGACTGGAACTCCACCAATATACACAGCAATAATAAGAGACTCTACCGTGTTGGTAAACACAACATATACTGCAGCCTTTCAGTTCTATAATGGGTCAAATTACACCTCTGTTGCCTTCAACAAGTATGGATATGATACGAGAGATTTCACTGTGATTTCTAGAGGTAAGGAAATTTCTGAGTGAAATGAGGTTCCAAAAACTCTACCCATCGAATCGAACCTGTATTAAGCAGTACTCGTAATTGCGAAATGAACTTAACTTATTTTCCTCTACACTCAGATTCAACTTGACAGCGCTTTGCTCTCTACTTCATATCAATGTTGTTTGAAATCTGTAAAACAGGAGTTCATTGATCTAAGGATTTAATTTAATCAGTTTTGCTAGTTTGCCTTTCCCATACTTTCCTTTCTTTCTTTCAGATTGTGGACATGCCTGTTCTCCGAGGTTCAACAGTCGCATTCAAAATGAACTCTTCTGTGAAAACGTGACAGCAACACAACTTAAGATGTGTCTTTCACCGTTGACGGAAACATTGTAAGAGACTATAAAAATAAGGCACAAACAAGCTTTTTAGGGCTAAGTTCAGTTCTTATTGACAATGCACTAAAGTTCGGGGCACTTGCACACCGGCATATGAACCTTACTTAGACTACATTGTTTAAAATTGGACTCATTACATACTAGGCTAATAATTATCAGTGCTTTTGTATCGATAAGATACTTTACGTCTGCTTTAATTTTTTTATTTTTTTTTAATAACTCGTGCATACTCCTTAATTTGTTTATGACCAGAATTCCTGAGTTTGTGGCTGCTTCTAACTGTTCATAGGCCAGTAAAGAAAATGCAATTTGCCTCGGTGTGGCAGAAAAGTTTTCCGTTTTTTCTTGGGGCTGTCCCCGCCTTGACCTGCACCTCTATTTACAGAACATTTTATTCAAGCAACCTATCCAATCTTCTGGCTAGTACGTTTCTTGGCCTTACAGAGCTAAGAAATCTGTAAGTAAGAATTTCCCATA